TGGGAATGGTACCTTTGCAAATTTTTGAATTTTCACTTCTGACCATGTTATTTGAGCAAAACCCCAGCCACGTTATAGTTGGCATGGCCATTGTTCTCACAAGGATTCACTAACAAGAACTAGGTTTGGAGGTGACTCCTGGCTTTGAATCCCCACTTGACACTCCCTAATTCTGTCACTTCAGGTTAAGTTAACATCACTGAGTTTCCCCACCTTTCCTGTGAGGGATAGGTGGTTGCATGTAGTTTGCAACATTGTTATGAGGGTTTGTGCGGATGTTTTTAAACCCTTGGATCAGGGTAGGCATTTGGGAAACAGGTTTATCATGAAGACTGAACAGGTTTTGTCAGTGCAAAAGTAGAAACTGCTAGAAGCAGGGCCTTTCTAACCCTCAGGATACAATGTTAAAAGTAGAATCACAGAAGAGTGACTTGCGATGGGGGAAGCAAAACAAAAGATAAAAAGACATGGAAGGGACTGGAAGGTCAGGGCTGGGAACAGTTCTGCTAGTGTAGGATCTTGAACAGGAATGAAGGGAGATCTAGGCTCTGGAATGCAATTTTGTCCCCAGAAGAACAAGAGGAACAGGGTGGGAGGGTGCCTGTGCAGGACACAACTGCTGGATGGAAAGAACATAAGGTTTGGGTGCAGTGAACCTCAGTGTGGAACATAGATGTACTTTGCACAGGCTGGGTGACTTCAGGTGTGTTGATCTCGCTATGCCTCAGTCCCCTCAACTTTAAAGTTAATAATACTACCTTCCTCCCAGACTTTGTGGGGCTATATATGTGAAAATGCTATGTAAACTAAGCACTATATAAATGTCAGTTGTTGGATTGTTATTGGGAGTGGGGGTTTGATAGAGCTTTTACAGAGAGGTTAGGAAACTTATACCAGATTCCAGATTAAAGCCTCTCATGGTCTTGGTAAAATACTATCACTCTGCTAGTATTTGACTAGTAAGGTTTTGATTTAAGAAGGAAAAGCCATAGTGTGATCAAGAGAGTGAGTTTTGAAGCTACAAGGACTAGGTTTGAATCTTGGTTTTGCCTATTTCTAACAGTGAGACTGTCAAATTACTTAATGTCTCTGAGCTTGGATTTCTTAACAGGTCTCCTCATGTGGCTGTTGGGAATGAATGAGACAACTCAAGTGAAACAGTTAACTCAGTGCCTAGTGCCCATTAAAGTGCTCAGTAAATGTTATTTTCCTTTCTTACGTTCTTTTCTCCTTAGGAAGCATTCCTTTACCCAGCATAAAAGGGAGGACTCAATTGTCCATGTCTTAGTGTGAAACATACCAGGCTTCCCCACTTCTTTAGGGTGAGATCAATGGCCCTAGGGAAGTGTGTAGGTGGGGAGTCGGGTGGACTCCATGATAGTGGGCATAGAGTGGTCATCCAGTCAACATGGGAGTGGAGTGCAGACGATGATTCTGAGAGGTGTAGTCTTAAGAGAGAAAGTGAATTAGGAGTGCCTGAGGGAAAAGCCAGACAGGGACAGGACACCAAGGTAAGGGTAAGGAGACCAGAGTTCTGTCAACAGAACCTTAGGAACTGTAACCACGATTCAAAGCTGTGAGAAATGCTGCATTCAGCCAGGTATCATCTTAAAACCTCTAAGGATAATGGACCATGTAGAAAGGGGAGGAAAAGCAAAGATCATCACAATGATAAGACATTTTAATTATTTTTCAGAGCCAAGAGAATGTACTACTTAGTCAAGGTATGTGACAGTCAAGAGGTTCTAAGTGTCTGTGAGAAAGCACAGATAGGTGCTGAAAAGCATCAAACCAGAATATGAGCTGACCCACTATCTTGATACATAATGGAAGCCCTGTCATAGGGCTTTATGGGGTTATAAACAGATATTCTTGGATCCTATCACAATCTTGTCAGTGGCCCAACCAGTGTTTCTGGTTGTTTTGCAGCTTAAGCCATCTGAGAAGGTAACCCAAAAATAGATGGTATGGCATCGATTCTTTCCTTGGTGGTATTTTTAATGATGGAGGTCTTAGAACAAAGAATAAGTATGCTTGTCAGACCCACATCATTACTCTGCTTTAAGGAATTTATGCAGTTACTATTCTGAGTCCTTCACATGGAAGAGAATTTGTTAGAATTACAGTTCGCAGTCTACTATATAACAAAAAGAAATAAATGAAAAAAAAAAAACAGGTTTGCCATGTAATGCCAACTAAAAATTGTTTAGTATTTATACTTGAATCTTAAGTTAAATTTTGCCAAGTTTATTAATAGAGTTTTAGAACATTTAAAATAACTTAAGGCGGGGCTAGTCAGTGCATGCCTATTAATTCCAACTACTTGGAAGGCTGAGGCAAGAGTATTGCAAGTGTGAGGCCAGCCTGGGCAACTTAGACCCTGTCTCAAAATGTTTCAGAAGGCTGGGATTTGGCTTAGTGGCAGAACACACACACATGCAAATAAGTAACTTAAGATTTACTTATTTATAAACAATTTATTGGGGATAGAAATATTCAAGTATTTGGGAAGGTTTGTTTTCATCAAATAAATGAAAACTTAAAATAGCATCTAAGTGATTATAAGAGTTTACCTTTGACCAAATATGAAATAAAAATATGACTTGGAAGCTAAATTTAAAAACTTAAGAACTAGGATTTGGGGTTTGTAACTTTGCAAAATTGAGTATGTTTTTAAACCCAAAGTAATTGATGAGTAATTGTTTCTATAGAACATAAACGTCACCCTCATGGGTGATTCCACTGAAGTCACTTAGCCTTTTCAAGAACTAGACATCAGCAGTAGCCAAAGGATTCCCCACACTAGCCAAATCAGCCGCAAACATGTTTTTGTTTGGCCAATAGATGTTTCTGAAGATTTTTTAAAATTAATTAACAGTACTAAAGGTCAAAAACTTTCATCTTAAGAGATTTCTGACTTCTCTGACAATAATGAATCACATTTCCCATATGACAATAATTGGTTGGAGCTGAGTAGCAACTGTCCCTCTGTTCATGTTCCTTCCAGTTAGTCACAGTCTCCACTCATTATTGGACCTTATGCCTGTCTGGCCCACAAAGATGTTTGCGTATGTAACCTCTTCACTTCAAGGTTCTTAGGGATTCCTAACAGCTGATGCTGTGTAACCTAGGATAAGTACCCAAGAAAAGGGCAGACCCTGCCCTCCTGTATGCTCTTAGCATCCCCACTCCAGCTGGGCTGCCTTCCCAACCGACCTGCCTTGAGGACTGATTCCTGACCCTATAGGAAAAATGAAAGTTCCCAGGCTGGACTTAATGTTTGTTGCTCTTATCTTATGAGACACTTTACCTAAGCCCTGTGAACTTCCTGATCAGTTCTTGTGAGCTTGATCACTTGCTTAGTTTGATGACTGCCTGACCTTGGTCTCTAAGGGGTTCTAAACTCAATTTGTAAAGCTCCCACATCTGATTTTTCTGGCTTGGCTGTGAATCTGCTGCATCCATCCCCACTGCATACATCCCCACATTGACCACATTGCCTGGTCAATGTGGTTATTGATTCGAGGAATGGAAGCCAGATTGCTGAAGGTTTAAACAAAGTAGGAAGTGAGTTTGGAAGTTTTGGGATTAAAAGAGAAGGATGGAGGCAGAAGCCAACTACAGTTTAACTTGGCTACTGAAGCTTTTTAGGCAAGGAAGGCCACTATACAACTGTAGGCAGAGAAGCCTAAAGAAGAGAAAGAATTTAAAGAGAGAATAACATCTCAGAGAAGCCACTGTGTGATAGAATTTGAAACAGCAGAGATATACCCAGGAAGGCTAAGAAACATTACCTCTAGTCATGCAGGAAGGGATACTATTGAAAACCTATAGTCTCCTAAAGCTACTGTTAGGAAAAAAAAAAAAAAGATGCTGGATGTTTGAGGACAGAGAAAGGCTAGGTGTGACCCTGGACCATAGCTGAGTGCAAGAGAAATTTTCAGCAAAGCAGCTGACATAGCCTCTCATCTGTAGACGAGGCAGAAACATCTGAACCAAATGGCTATGAAGCTTGGTGAAGAGCCAGACCCAGTGAGGGTTGATTAATGGATCCATGTCAGCCTAGACTAGAGGGAAGTCTCCAGCAGTA